AAGTGCCCCGCAGCGGTGCTGATGCCCTGTCTGCTGACCATGCTGTTTGACTCAATGGAGACATGCAGGTAGGAGGAGAATGTTGCCACATAAGTGCTTTATTACATCAGGCTCATACGACGCCAGAAACCTAAGCAAGGAGATATTTGCGTAGACTGGAAATACAAAGGGAGCATTTCACAAGTCATTTGTCCTTGATGATCTTTTTCTGTGTGCCAGTGCCATGGCGTGGTGTGAAATGACAGAGTCTTGCCAGCTCAGCAGGAGGCAGCTGTGTATGGCACTCTGTGAACATAATAGAAGCCCAGACATTACAGTCTCTCTTCTAGGCAGGAAACCTAACGCTGGGCCAATTAGTAATTTGGTATTTCATAAAATTTGGCAGCTTGTGTCTGATGACAAACCGACATAGATCCTCTTTCCTCCAGGGAAACTCTACATCAATGGCAGAACACACACACACACACACACATACAAAGAAGACTGCTAAGTTTTTCCTGGGGAAAAAAATCTAACTGAACTTTAAACAAAAAAGTTCTGTTTGCCTTTAGAAGCATTTTCCACAAGAAGGGTGTATTTGAAGTTTCTCTGATGAGAGGTGATGATTGATGAACACTCAAACAGTTCGCCACAGACTGTAAGCCGAAACGCGGCACCGTTAACACATTAGTTTGTCATTATATACATATTTGATGTGCAGATAAGAGTAATGCCTTATCGCTGTGGGAACACTCTTCTCTTCCAGCTCCCTTAAAGGTCATTATGGGATGCTGACCAGTCGACCCCTGAACGAGAACATCATTTGTCTCTCTGTACCAGGAGGACACACCTAACAAAGCAGGATGACCCGTTAGAAGACCAAGGAAATATTACAAATGGTAATAAGAGTTTATCATGTAAAATACTTATGTCAGCTGTTTTATTATTCCAGACAAACACTGTGTTATTTTTAGTTGTTTTGGTTCAACCATAAAGCTATGAAATACAAATTCTGTGGGACTATACATGGGGTTAAGGGATGTCCACTGTGATAAAAGACGTCTATTTAAAGTTTATCATCATCCCAACAAAAGGTTGGGATAAAATATGGCGTCCACTTCATATAGGTCACAGTATAATATGAGATCTGACCTCAAACAGCAGCAGGGAAATCTGGCAGGACATTCATTATGGGTGCAATCGGTTCCGTGGGGACATGGAAAGTGCTTTGTTGGGAGATATGCAGTCACTTTCTCTAAAGCACATACACAAACACACACTCGTGTACACAACGTGGCTGATACACACCAGATCTCTGTTGGGTTTGATTAGACAGGATATGCAGTATCATCCGTCAGCTTTTTAGAGGCTATAAAATTGCTGCATTAATGCTTTTTTTTTTTTTTAAGAAATAGATTTACTTTTTTAATCTTTTTTGTCCTTCTGCCTCTCAAATAAAGTTTCATTATTACAATATATCTGGGGTTTTAATGGTTTAAAAAGGTACCAACATTTTTCTAGATGAGTTTTTGTAAAATATTTTAAATCATTTCATGGTACAGGAGTTCTACCGGTTCTCAGACAGCAGCAATAACAGAACACTCTAATTAACAGAACATTTTATGTTATTAAAATCAGCTGAGTCTCAATTTCTTGGAACATCTGCTGACTTAAAGATTAAATTATGAGTAAGAAAAAAAAAACGTTGAAGCCCTTTATTAACGAGAATCCTTGACTTAATCTTTCATCCACCGCTTCCTTCCTTCCTTACTTCCTATCTTCGCATCAGTCCTACATCCCACCTCCTCCCCCTCCACCTCCTACCTCAGTCTTATTACAGCCAGCCACCCATACCCCTGCCTCCGCGAGCAGCTCTCCTCATATAATATGGTGGCCATCTGCTAGGCTGAGCCGCGCTTCCCAAAAGCCCCGGGGCTAGATGTTTATCTATGGTCCCCTCTCTCAAACTCCTTTAAGGATGCAAAACATATCAGCAATCATCGCCATTACAATTAGCACAGGTGCTGTTGAGCTGTAAAGTGATCAGGAGAAATGGGAGGAAACATAATTGAAGTGGATTAGAGCAGAGAGGTGGGAGGGAGAAAAAAATGAAATAAAAACTGGATGGAAGGTTGGACGGCAGCCCTTCTCTGTGCTGCCGTCTGAAATTCACTGTGCTGTGATTAAAACTGGTGCAGAGCAGTGGTGGAAGTCCTGGCAAGGAGTTTAGATTTTTTTTTTTCCAGCTGTCTCCTGTTTCCCATACTCCACATCAGGTTGAAATACAGAATTTAGTTTGTGATCTGTGACCAATAATGTACTTACGAATTCACCATGTGCTATAAAGTGTAACACAACAAGTAGCTGCTTTTCTATGTTTGGTTTATGTGCATTAAATTATGTTTTAAAAGGGAGAAATGGAGGACAGGAGACATAATAAACAGTGTGTTCTTTAATCAGCCTCCATGGTTAGCACGGTAGCAAATGTGTGCATATCATTTCCTTTACATAGTCTTCATACATACAGACACAGACACCCTCACACAGCCAGTCAGCAGCTGGAGCAGGGTGGAAACGTTCCGCAGCAGTCACTCATGAAGAGAAATTCTTAATAATAAATATCCAGCCAATAATGAATGTGCTGCTGGCTGCAGTTGTCTTGGGGGCATAATATCTAATTTCCTCCCAATGTTTCATATCTACCTACTCCTGCATGTCGACACAGTCCATCATCACAGCCCAATGCAGGTTCCTATCACTTTTATTTATTTTTAAAATCAATATATAAATCAAAGCCCGGACAGATGAGATCCAATAAATTACAGATTGCTGGACAAATGCAGAATGTTAACTGTGCACCAAGAGAGGAGATTCCCATGGGTGCCGCCTAGGTTTGTGCAGGAAAATGTACTGAACGTCACCATAAATCACAGCTAACTTGCACATTACTCAGAGCTTTTTTAATTCAAAAGGAACAAAAAAAAACTTATGGAAAGCCTGATCCTAATAAGTTATCTTTAATTTATGTTACATGGTTGATTTTATAATGCCTAGTCAAAAAAATGTTCAGCAAATGATGTGCAGTAAAAGAAGTGGCCAATGTCTGCCAGAAGGTATTCTTTAAATATGAAAGTTACCAGTGAGGGAGAAATCCTATTCTGCAATTATCGTTTTTAATTGAGAGGGATGCAAAAAAAAAAAAAAGAGCAGCGGAGCAACAGCCCTCTGTTCACCAGCCTCAGTTTGTGTGACTCACCCCCTTCTATTTCATGCTCAGCCACTTGGAAAAGTAGAAGGGTTAGAGGAAAAAGAGAGGAAAACAGGGGCAAGAGGATAGAGAGGCAGGTGAAACAGAGCATAGAGAACCAGCCAGGCTCTGATGCTGCAATGGTAAATCCTCACACAGGTACAGGGGGATAACCAGTCAGCTTAGGCACAGACCCATAACATAAAGGCTGGGCTCATAAAGGCTGGACACACGCGCACACACACCAGACCCATAACATAAAGGCTGGGCTCAGAGGACACACGCGCACACACACATATGTACCTGAGTGTAGCAGCCATTGCAATCAGCAGGGAATATGCTTCCATCAGCTCCCATAACATCAGTGCTCACCTTGGTGCTGACATCAGTTGACGTGCATATGTGCAGATGCAGCGTGAGGCAACACCAGAGCAGGCGGAACAGAGGTTTGAAGGAGATTCCCACTGACACTAGTCCAGTGGGGGTAGAGAAAGGAGACCTCTGCTGCGAAGTGAAACAGCGGGGCAGATTTACTACACAGCAGAAACACAGGGAGGGCAGCCAAGCCACTTGTGGACCAAAAAGAAAGAATTTAACCAGAACTGATAGTTGTATCAGCCTTGCTATGGTTCTTTAAAGGATCCAGTTTGTAAAGCGGCTATTTGTTTTTATTGTTACTATTATTATTATTGTAGTGTTGGTGTTAAGTTTGGAGTTGGAATCAGGAAGACGGCTTTATGGCAGAAATATCCAATTATCTAATTAACTAAATAATTAAATTAGTTACTCAAAATCCAAGTTTTTCAAAAGAGAAAGACAAAAAACATGAAATCTGAATGAAAACTGTTCTAAAAACATACTACTAACTGCATGTGTTTTCTATAAAAATATGTTTGTTTTTGATTGGTTTAATTGTGAACTGATGGCATCAAATTTCCAGGTAACAACTTGGTTGATTCACTGTGATTCCAATAAAACAGGTTGTGAAATTTCAGATTTTTCCCCAGTTTTGTGTCTCCAACAAGTTCCAATCTGTTGCAGCCCAGTGAGCGCAGCAGATAAGGCTAAATGACTGTAATGAACTGCAATTCTTCATTCTCCATTCAAGTGCAACACTTTTCCAGATGTCGCCCATTAAGTGACACTAATGACAAAAAGAACATAATCTTAGAGGCAACAGAAAAACAGTGTCGAGCTCGCCCTGCTCTTCTACTGTGAATTTAAATTCATTGCGTGAAGAAAATCATTTTCAAATGCAGTCTTAATTAAATATTTATGTTTTTATAAATTTGATTGTTCTGGTAAATATTTAAAAGACAATGATAGCCCGAGTGGACATGATTAATATTATAATCTGAATTGTATTTTGTATTCCGTGCCACTTTTTTTTTTTTAAACGCTTCAGTGAGGAACAAGACCTCATTTCGAACGATAGCAAAGCGGAGGGCAATGGTTCCGATACGGAAAACATAAAGAATAAATAATCCAGTTGTCTGCAGTGCCCAATGCGAAGCAATTTAACGCATCGGTGGCAGCCACCTAATAATTTCCCTTTTGAAGGAGCGAGGGGAGAGCCTGGGAGCACTGATTGGAGGGACAACACCACCGCACCATGTATCACTTCTGTAGCCAAACAAAGACACGCATGCAAATGAACGCACGTGCATTCCCACACACAAGACAATGCATGTCTGCCATAGATGTAGACGCACCTCTCTTCTCCACTGTGTCAGTGTTTGCACAAGAGAAATAATGACAGGAGCCCAAGTGAAAGTGAATTAATTAGGAAACCCTACAGATACGGACGCCCATATGTGACTCTCGTCCTTAGGGCATGGCATCAATAACAGCTGCCCTGGGTGATCTGCCTTCACTCTCTCACAGCTTTCTCTTTACACCAGTCCATCCACATTTACAAACCCGTATTAGAGTGCTCCAACAGGACTGGCTGTGGTAATGATGAGCATTTGTCCAAACACTGCAGTCCAAGTCTTACGTCCTAAGCCATGGCATTAATTACTCCTTACTGCTTTCTTCACCTTCTCAAAAAGAAACTTTTATCTGTGTTTGTGGCACACCAGCTTCCCTAACAGAAGCTGAACTTTGGTAATGATACACACACTGTGGCCTGTCTCCTAAAAATTGTGTGATGCATAGTTTTCCATCGTGACCACTGCCCATCATTACTTACCCTCTTATTACTATACATTCTGGGGGACATTTAAGATCAGTTCACAAAAGGACTTGAATGAGGGACAAACTCGCTAAGTCCTCTCCTGAAACTATCTTTCTTTTTTAATTTTAAGGAAATTTTGCCCAAAAGACATAACGTCTGTGTTTTTCTACAATTAATTAATGGGTCCCCAGCTAGTTAGCAGTAGGCAGCACTTGTTTCACCATGACTAGAAAGAGAGGGTGAAAGGGGTTGGAGCCAGGCTCGCCTCAGTAGCTGCAGGCTCTTAGTTGTGAGTCACTGGAATTGGACTATTTTTAACAAAATCTTTTTATGGATAGATAAATCTGATTTTATGCACAAGGAGTCTCCTGGGTTTCAATTAACCGGGGGTCATGCTGTAGATCTATCACCAAAAGAAAGGGAGGATGAAAATGAAGGGAAATGGTAAAAAGGGGAGAGAAGAAGAAATCCTCCAATTAATGCAACCTAATTAAACATTTTTAAAAGCATTATCTGAGCTGTTTTTGTTTTGTTTCTTCCCTGGAGAGCCACAGTTGTCTAATTGTCTCTCGTTTGTTGAATTGTTGCCACAACTGGTTTAAACCTTCTTTGTGTTACTACAGGGAATCAAAGAAGCAAATAGTAATTACAAAGCAATGTGCCTTGTGCTCAAAGTGTCTCTTAAAAAATTTGAGTTTAAAAATCTCCAGCAGTTGGCAGAGCGGTTTACAGGTTACTCTGTGAAACCACTGTTTGCTTTGCATTTTTTTTTTTTTTTTTTTTTTGGTCTGTGGCCTGAGTCGGGGCAAAGTTAAGTGAAAATCATGTTCATGCTTTAATGATCAGCATGTTGCTTCATTCAGGGAGAATTACTGAACATGTAGAGTGTTGAGATAGAGAGGGTGAGGAAGAAGAGGTGAGAAAAATATATAATAGATTAAAAAGCACTTGGTCAAAATGTGCAGCGTGGTACTGCACGTTCATCACCTTGGCACACTCTCTGTCTCATTTCCATGCAGCCGCAATAAAAGAGCAAGGCAACATCACAAGTTGCTCTTTTATCTTCAAACTACCCACAGGGCACTTCTTAAGAGCTTGTAGCTCCATACAATAACACACTGATTCATTCACAGCTTTTAGTGCCGTGCCTTGTGTACGCTCACGTGACATATCATATGAAATTAAGTTTCAATGGTTTATAATTATAATTAGACTAGAAATCAAAATAAAAGTAAAAACACACATTGGAAGCAAAGAGCCACCAATAAACAATTATTTATAAATTTACAACATCCCAAAGGTCACTGATGGGCTCAACGGTGTATGAATTAAAGTTAATTGAATGGGAAAAAATAAAATAGCTAGAGTATGGAGAAACACATAAGTAGTAAAGTAGAATAAAAGAAATAAACTTAAATTGTCATTACACGGTTGGGCATTAAAAAGCAATTGTGGATAAATTAGCACTACAACAGTAACGAGCGTCATGGCAACCAGAGTTCTTCCATTGTGATCCATTACACATTTTGACATATTAAATAATTACATCATTTTTTTTAGTCACAAATAAAAACTTACTGTTACTTATCTTTCTGTCCCTGCAATATACATATTTATTAATAATGAGCAATCTTTATACCAATGATGATTAATTATGATAAATCACAATTAATTGTGACTATCTACAGCTATAATTATAATTTTTCAGATAAAACTTGAATCATTTCGTAGCCATATAAAACACTCATATGATCAAAAAATAAATCCTCACTGTCCAGCCAGACAACTAACCTTACTCAGAGATCTAGCTTATCTTTCCTTCGGTTTCTTACGACACACAGACACACAGTCGTTCAGAGACACACACATTCATGTGTTTCCGAGCCTAGAAATTACCTAATGTGAAATATTAACATATTTCTTGTAGGAGCAGCAGGAGGAGACTGCTCATTGGAGACAAATTATCCAAATTAATTTCTAATTTAAACCCTATGGCTTTTATTATGGGCTGTGGGCACATTCAGTACTGGAGATTTGGTGGGAATAAAGAAACGAAGGCAAACAACAAGAGAGAAAGTGAGGTCTGGGATTAAAGGGGGGGTTTAATAACCTGGGCTTTTCAATGGCCACAGATTAAATGATGGTAGAACATTTAAAAATGATAAAGTAGGTAGAGTCGAACACCAGAACAACGTGGACATCTGAACCCAGCTGAAGCTAATACATCCACGAGACAACATCCCCTGAGAGAGAGAGGAAATTAAAATGGGTCCAAAACTTTATGACACACTTGTATCTTCCTTTACTCTAATTAGTGGTCTCACATCTTTACTACTGAGCCTGAGAGGAAGTGGAAGCCATTGGCCATGACCAGTCTTGAAGAAAGAGCTTACGCTCATTTTCACACAACAGCCCTGGGAACTCAAGGAAACTGATCTTCAGATGTTTTAGTGACCAATTAGGACGCCCGCCTTTCATGTACTCGGACATCATGCTCTCTTGGTATTTCATTCTTCACACTGAGGCTCATCAGAAACATTTCAATTATTTGGCTTTGGTATTTGTCACAGTGCAACAACCCCGGAAAATGCGAATTTCCCTTTGATAAAATAATCCTTTCTTGTACCAAACGTTACTAAAATGTATCATCAAATTCATAACTAAGTAACACTCCTTATTCCTAATTGTTAAAGAAGGAAAAATAAATTATTTTCTGTCATTTTCATAATATCATGATATCACACTCACCTGTAACCTGTTATTTCCTGTTCATCAGTCTCACTCGTCTCGCCAGGTGCCCTCAGTATACTGTATGTGTTGCCTCCCTGGTCTGATAGTCAGGATGCTGCAAATTATATTCTTGTCTGTCGTAAAAAATAAGATGCACATTTTACTGGTGTTATCATCATGACAACAGGATTTTTTCTTTCTGTTTTATGTACAATATTTCAACAACCAAATCTTTAATGATAATCACTCTATCAATGATGCTGTACTTTACCTGGAGAATAGCTTTTTTCCTGATTTTGGCAATAATTCCAAAAAAACTAAATGTGTGTACAAATAAAATAGTTAGTTTTTTTTGCATTAAAACACATTGATTAATAAACACCTGCGTACATTTAGTGCATCTGTTGCAGCTTATCAGTAGTCACTTAGCATACACTTCGCACTCTCACTTAATTAACATCAACCCTCTCTCGATAGCCGGTTACTTTCGCTCAAATATACAGAGCTAATTACCAAGTCACATATTTAACTTATAACATATAATATGTTCATCTGAGCGCGTGTATATTTCCTCACCTGTGGTAAGAATAAAGGAGATACACCTTTTGCAGACATTATCATCGTGGCAGGAAGATTTATTCTTGTGTCTGTGTTCGCGTAAATCACATTCTACCACAAATGCGAGGCGCCGCCTTGTGGCCCCAGAATGTCATAACAATGTAGTGATGTGAGTACAAACGAATGATTAAATGAGTGAAAATAAATGAAACATTTAAATAAATATATAGTAGGCCTGTGTGTTTTTTCTTATCTCATTTCTGGTATGGTTTTTACATTTTCCTATTATTTACAATTTTTTCAATCCTTTACATATAGACCTTTATTCTTCACTCAGTTTTTGTTGGGTCATTGTTGTTCCTGTGTGTCATATTGTTCCTGGTAACATCTCCCTATAATCCTATTGTTTCTGTTCTATGTCCTGTGCACCTACATCTATAATTACCCGTGTGAAGTGTGTGTGAAGTATTTATTCCATAAATAGGTTGTTTACTTAACCATTACAAACTGAAACCTCAAACTAAAATCTCTAATTACTGAATTAGAGATTGGTCATTTAAAGGTGTCTGCCATCTTTTCTGACCTTGGGGTTTGTAAATCAACAGGCTCGGACCGTGTTCAGATTTTTATTTTAAAAAAGTGCATGGCTAGAAATCAAGTTAAAATGTAAATGTGACAAAGCCATCAGGGCTCTACTAAAGGTGTTATTACCCAATGTGTTGTGCTGCCCCTTCACTGTCATATAAATGCCAGTATGCATTTGTTTTATGGCGTGTTCACTCCCAAATAAAATATACAGCAGCAGCTAAGGATGATGAGATTCCGTCACACGTTATCACATATTCAACAAAAAACGTAATTCTAAACAAAGAGTTTTAGTCATAAATCTAATTATAAAATATATATATATATATTTAGCTGCAATTTTTTATCAGGCCAAATTAAATTTCAACTACGAATGTGTTTGTCTTTGAAGAAGAATCAATTATATACATTTTTTCATATATAAAAAATAGCCAGTAGCAGAGGAGTTACATCACTATGTAAATACATAGTACCATAACTGCCGTTGTCTTTCTTGTAAAGCTGACACACAGTGATTCACCGATGGTTACTGCATGCAAATTGCCAGTCTACCCAGAAGCCTACAACTCGTTGCATCTTATACCAAATAATAGCACAGCTCATCAGGTAACGAACAAACACCCGCTTCTCAACACACACATGCACAGCCCACAAAACATGGTGTAGCTGAGCAGCAGACATGGACGCTCTCAAACACCGGGAGGTTTATCGTGCTTTTGTATCTGCCGTTCCTTTTTTTTTTTTTTTTTTAATCGCAAGGAGAAGTAACCAGACTGTAATTAAGGACAGAGGGAGGAAGATGTTCATTAGACGTAGTGTCCTCATTAGTGTAAGTTCCACCCGGAGGTGGTGCTGGACACCTAATGAGGGGCGTACTGTAATAAGAGCGGGGAACCAACAAGAAAGTGCCTCTAGATTGGGACGCATGGAAAGACTTCTCTTTAATAAAAGTGACATGTAGTACAATTACTGTACAGTATTATGGCTATAGTAGATCTACTTACCAACGCTCACTGGCAAATGCAGTTTGAATGCCCTTAAATGGACATGTCAAAAGACATGATGCAAAGGTGCAAACCCAGAATTTCACTTTCAACTTTCACTTTTTTTTAACATTTAGCAAGACATGCTAGGCCACTGTTATTTGTGTGTACACACTGCCCTTCCCTCTGGAACATCTGACCGTATGCACCAAAGAAATTATCACTGTACACTTCCTGTTTTCGGAATATTACCCTTGAAGTTATGGGATTTTTTAGTTTATTGGATGTTTTTTAGGTCATTATCCACATTTTTTCTGAGGGAACTGACCACAATTGCCTTTGCTGTCCTTTCATATATTCTTTTTCTTCCATTTAGGTCATTCACTCCTCAGATGATAACTGATGGTTTTTAATCCCAGGCTACAAATCACTCATAAAATCTGTAAGCGTCCGACCAGCTGTAGAGATGCTGTTGGGGTTCACCTGCCCTTTGGCTAAAGACACACATACACACTTTCACACTCGCACACACACTGCACAGCACGCCACAAGTGTACAGGTAAACTCACTTAATCATCTCAGAGGTCGTTGTTGCAAAGTAAGCTGGAGCAATAATTGCTGCGCTGAGCTGTTCTCCAGCAAAGACTGAAGGAGAGAAAGAGAGCGAGGCAGTGAGGAGAGTTGGTGTGAGAAGGAGGCAGGAGTGAGTGAAAAGTGTTAGCAATCGCTAGACAACAGAGACAGAGCGTAATGACACTGGAAGGACGACTGTCTACAGTACCTGATGCACAGACAGGCAGAGAAAAACAGTGTGACGTAAAAATGGAAAAGAGAGAGAGACACAGAGAGTGAAGCAGGGACAGTAACTCACAGGTGAATGACGACCGACCCTGCACGGCCTGAGAGTGATTTAAAGTCTTAATATTTTCCACTTTGACAGATGGATGATGCCCAACCTCTGGCTGCTGAAGCCTAATGAGTGAAACATTAGTAAACATTTCTAAACCGTGATCAAAGATCATTCTTGCTGATGGCAGGAAGATGATGGGATTGTCCATTTTTTTTAAATTTATTCTTTTCTTTTTTTTAACTCCTGCTCAGCAGTTTTGAATAAAAGATGAAAGAGAGGAGCAGGAACCTCAGGAGGCAAATGTGTATCTGTGTGAGTGCCTTTGTGAGCGTGTGATTTCTTTTGTCCTCTGGCTCTGTTGCTATTAGACCAAATAATGTGTGTACAGTAAGGTGAGCTGCCTGCAGATATGCACATCTCAATACATTGTGGCTGCATGTAGTACACGCACTGGTGTTGAAGCAAACCAGGGAATAGAGCTCTGGAGATGTAGTGTGAAATAAAAGGAAGAACCACAGATGCAGTATAACACCTGCTTCCTGCTAAGGTTCACTGACTACATGAAATACTGCTGTTACAATACATTAAGAAAATCATTTATGAACTATTTAGGGACAATGGAGTTTGCATCTATCTAGCTTGCGAACTCGCTATCTATCTATCACACATACAGTATAATTTGTAAATATACTCTACCTAAGTAGCAAATAGTAATAGTAAATAGTAAATTAACAAAATCAATATAAGCAAGAAGAAACTGGAAATGATAATTACTTCCATTATTAATAGACACAAAACACTTCATTTCCAACCTTAGTGAATGTCTCATTGAGCCAGTGGAATGTGAAATGCTTTGCAGCAGCACAACGTCCTGTTTCTGGTACATCATTACCATGCATCTCCTGTGCACAGGTCTACGGTAACCTCACTGTCCGTGCGCAGACACAGCAACACTGAGGGGACATCCGCAGACCAAAACTGTAAAGTGAAACCTGGCTGTGTGAGCAACAAGGTCAGAAGAAACAGCAATTTACTGTTACCAAGGGGAAACGCCAGAGCGCTGTCATTGGCCAACAACACTAAATAGGACAACAGCAAGTCAGAGGGGACACAAATAAAAGGAAGTGCTCGCTCACCTATTTCTAATCATGGACATGTCTTTGGCAGAGACGGAGAGACACACAAGGACACACAAACAGGCCAGGCCTATCTTTGACTCTGTACAAGATGATACCAAACAAACAAGGGCAGAGCCAAGAGTTTAACAAAAAAAAAAAACTAAACACGTAGACATGATTTTGTCATTCCTGGTAAATTGTCGCGGCCTACATCCAGCATCAGGAGTGGCAGTAACTCCTCAAGCTCAAAAATGTTTTACTCTTTTGTACAGAATGAAGTGAAAAACCACGTCCAATCCATTAATGACATCAAAGATTGGAGCCGAACTTCAGCGGAGCATTCAGCGTGAACATAATGTGCATATGTATAACACAGTGTGACTTCAGAGTCATGTTAAGTTCACTGGGCTAAATTATGCCAGGCTGAATTTACCCATTTATATGACTCTTTTTATGGCTGATTCAAAGCTGCCTGGCTAATCAACCCTCTATTACAAAGCTTCTCCATGGCGGCAGTTTGATTGGCTTCAATTTACATAATGGTGGAACGCTGCGAACGTGAGGCCTCAACTGCTTTCCATTTCTCCGCCGAGCCGATTAGATAGGTTTATGGATTTGAAACATGTGCAAAGCATCAATTTTATTTATTTCATTATTCATTCATTGGTCTATTGCGCCCGGGAACAAGCAAGTTGTCGGTCTGTGACAATCATGAGGGGAACATTTCTGCCGTCCTGGACTACACTCAGTGGCGGAATCCAATTTGTGTTCAGAATGAGAAAGTAGTTTAATCTGCGAGTGCAGACCTATGGAAGTGACACACACACACACACACACACACATCAATAGTGGTGTCCTACTGCACATACTATGTTAATTCATTCAAATGGCCGTCCTTAGACTATAACAAGTGAATCAAAGCTAATGGCCTGCAATTTAGTAAATTTGCTTACATGGATTCATCAGTTGTTATCTTCTCTATTGAATATTAGTGTGATTTATCCATAGTAATGTTGTTATCAGCTAACATGATCCTTTTTTGGTTGCAACTCTTTAATGCTGTACTTGAACACAGTGCTGCTTTGAACTTAAACCTAAGGATAATGTTTGTTTTTTTATATTTCTGTGCTTATTATATATTATAAATATATATATAATTATAATTATAAATCCTTAATTATTTACCCATATGGCCTGTTATGGATGTATAACTGGCAGAAAACTTATAAGCAACATTGAATAACACTAAAATATACAAAAGTCTTTATCTTCTGTTTATACTTAAAAAATGCTTTATACATGAGTCAGTTTAAAAAAAAGGTTTATTATAGTTTTTGCTGAAACGTTAGCTGTTTATTTAATTGTCTTCATCAAAAGAGAGTCCGTGTTAAACCATAGCATCCAAACACGGACTCACAGGCTTTTGTGGTTCTTCCCTGGTCTGCGTCTCATGATCAAGCAGGGAAGTCAAGTGGTGAAACGTATTAAAACACTGGAGCAGGAAGATCAAAATTACCAGAGCAGCGGAGCTGGGGGCAGAAAGCCCTGGATGTGTTTTTCCTTCTTTCACTCTGCCTCTCTCATCTGATGCCACATGAAGTCTTGCCCAGGTACCTGCACTTTTTAATGATGCCATTTGCCTAATGCCTTCTTGCGGTTGTCAATCTGTCTCACATTATCCCTCATCCTCCTGTCTTGCTGCATCACCCGTGCCCCTTGACTGTGGCACACCAAAGAGCCTTGCCTGAAACAGTGCTGCAGTGGCCCATTAGGAGCATCCTCCAGACTGGATTGGTGGGAAACACCTCTTAAAAAGCAAGGATGAAACAACAATCGGCAATAACAAAAACAGGGGAGAGGAGGATGGTGATGGGCATATCTTTTATCC